TGACACCTCACACCTTACCAATCAATTTTGTAAGATTGTGTTAAGGCAAACTCTAATATGGTATCAGAACTTATCATCTTGGACAGCGAGCGTGTGTTAGGCCAAACCTAATAGTTCTTGTATTTTTTTTTAAAAGTAACCTCTGAATGTTAAAAAAAATAATTTTAGTCTCTAAAATTAAAATTCGCAGAAAAATCTGCAGAATTTTCTACTTATTTTAACTTTAGGATTAAAATTAAATCAAATTCAACATTTAAAAATTTTATCCAAAAAATAAAAAGCAAATATAAAATAAATTTTAAATTCTACTCTTTGACTTGGACTACTCACATAAATCTAATATATATAAGTGATGCTCAATATTTAAGTAGTTAAATATTCTTTTTTTTTAAAAAATCTAATATTTTCTCAAAATAGAATTAATAACATTCTAGTTTTAAAAATGTTTACTAACATTTTAAACTCTTTTTTTTCAGTATTTAAAAATAAGCTTACGCACTAATTTTATCTTTAATTATTTATTTTCAATTGTACTATATTTTTAACCATCAATTGTTCTATTTAAATAATATTATATTTATTAGTTTTAAAATATTTATTTTTATTTCACATTTATGATAATATAGAAATATTAAAAATTTATTTACTGCAATTTACGCTGCAATATAAAATTTACTGTTAAGCTAATTTAATTTAAATTTTATGTAATAATGATATAAGTTTTGATTTAAATTATTATTAAATACTCCCTCCGTCTTACAATAAATGATTCAGTTTTTTATTTGACACAGACTAAAAAATAAATAAATGAAAGAGAGAAAAAATAATGTTTTTACTAAAGTATCTCTTATTAATTATTGAGGATGATAAAAATAATATTAGTTTAATAGTAAAATTAAAAAATATACATTAAAAATTGAATACATTTCAGACATTTTTTATTTCACATTCATTGTGAAACTGGATGGAGTAAACGATAGTATAAATAATTTTAATAAAATTTATATAATGTTTCAATTAATTCACAATGCAATTTATAACCAAGGTAACTCAATTTGGATTTGACATCGAATTGGTTAAGATTTAAAAATTAGACAGTGTTTGAATTCTAATTCAATTGGTTATAAATAAATAAATATATGTATTTTTAATTTATATATAAGAATAATATAACACAGAAGATTCTTCTAAACTTTTGATTTTCCATTTTTGTCTGTATTTTAACCGATTTTTTTATATAAATTTTGATTCTTTTAGAATTCGATTTTAGATTCAAATTGATTGGCTAGGATTTTGATTCTCAACCTGACCAGTTGAACTGTTCACTTCAATTTAGTTTTGATTACATTGTTTATAACACAATATGTTCAAAAATTAAAATCGTAAAATTAAAATCTTTAAAATTGTTATGACTACAAGTATAACTCTTATTTAAAATTGTTATAATTAATAAATAATTGAATAAAATTTAACTATTTTTCATTTTATTTTTGTATTACTATATATGAAATAATTAAATACAATGTGATATTATGAAATAGAGAGTAATTTATATTAACCAAATATTTAAAGGTGGGAATTTATATAGTATATAGTAATGAAAAAAATGGGAAATGTCATTGAAAAAACATTAATAGATGTATTTTTATTGATAAACATTATATTAGAGAAAAAGCTATGAACCACCATACATTTCATGCACTTTTCACAACACTTCAACCAAATTGCCTTGAACGCGAATAACAAAATGAGAAACAATAAAAAAAGAAACCAATATATTACCAGTTTAAAAAAAAATGGTAAACCAGTTTTATTTAAATTTAAAAATATGGAATTGATCAGTTTGTGATATAAATGGTTTGAATTTTTTAAATTGGTGCACTGAAACTTATAGAGTGCTTTTGCTAAATCATTTCAAATGCACAATTCTATTTGAGGTGGGAAATTTCTTTTTGAAAATTATGATGCCTTATTGTAAGAAAGTTTGTGAGGGGTATCCCCAACAAATTGTTACATTTGCGTATATGAGAGATTTTTTTTTGGATAAGCTATAATTTTTTACTATATGAGGTGTACAAAGGAGTACACCAATTCTTACAACCTAAGTATTCACAAATTCAATATTACATTAAAACTCCCACCAAAACACCTATAAAGATATGTAACATTACATTAGAAAAGAAGAGACTTGTACCCATCATAGAATTTACATTGGATTCTATTATTGCTAGATTCTAACCATCTCCAAGAATTTACCATCACTCTTGACTTGCAATCATCCCCATAAAGTTCACTTGATTGTGAACCCACCAAAAAATCCAACATGCTACTATCCATATAAACCCCACCGATGTCTTGGACGTTTTCCTCACCGTTTTCATAAATCAAAGGAAAAAATGATCATATATATTATCCACCTTTTTTCACTCAATTCTCATCCACCGTGCTAACTTGGACCAAATCGTTCGAATAATTGGACAATTGCAGAAAATATTGTTTCTATCCTCATCATATTATAACATAAAACCCACACAAGTTCATTAGAAATAGAGATTATACCCATGGCCGCCAAGTTGTTTCTTGTTGGAAGTCTATCCCACATCAATCTCCACCCAAAAGTTTTAACTTTAAGTGAAATTTTAGTTTGCCAAATTACCTCCATAGCAGTCTTGGGTATAATCTCTAAGCCCTTGGGTACATTAAAACATCTCATACTCTTGTAGCACGAAGAAACAGTAAAAACATCACTCCCACCACCAATCCACACATACCTGTCACTGATATCCTGAGATGGGCTTACATGAACCAACAACTCAAGCAATTTGTTCCATTCTTCAGCAAACAGACCCTGCATCTCTTGAGACCAACCAACAATGTTCTAACTCCACACACCATCCATTCAGCTCCCAGGTTCATAAACTGTTGTCTGCTTATTAATATCTGCATTGTACAAATTAGGGAAAGCAGAAAAAAGGGGAATATCCATGAGCCAGTTGTTGTACCAGAATGATATAGCAGTTCCACTTCCAATCTTGCAAGAAATTCCCTTGTTTCTTGGAGTCCCAACCCTTTATCAAATCCACCCACTAAAACGACATCTTCTTTGCTGGCAATAAGTTCTTCTTGAGCATAATTTTATCCTTCAATCTACCATATCTTCCTTCAAGGAAATCTGACCAAATGGCAGAGTGATTATTCACAAATCTCCACAGCCATTTGAATAAGAGTGCTTCATTGAAAATCTTCAAATCCTCCAATTCATCCTCAAACCACCTAATTTCTTTGGCAGACACACCTTTTCCCAGCCAATCTAGGGTATCTTTCCCACATATGCACTTCCAGACCAAAGGAATTTGCATTGGATTGCTATTAGCTCTTTTGCTATCTTGGTCGACATTTTAAAGAAGGACATGTAATGAATTGGTAGATTAGTCAGGACTGCATTGATTAATGTTAGTCTACCTCCAAAGGAAATCAATCTGCCACGCCAAGTAGCAAGCTTCGACCTGAAACAATTCACCACAGGTTTCCAAAATTCTAACATACGATGATTACCTCCAACTTCAATTCCCACAAACTTGAAAGGCATGTGACTAATGTTACAAGATAGAAAAAGAGCAGCCTCTTGCATATATGCTTCCTCCATCCCAACCCCAAAAATATTACTTTTCCAAAAATTAATTCTTAAACCTGACAATAATTCAAAAGCCCTTAGTATCGATTTGATCCCCTATAGATCTCCTACATTACCATCACTCACTAATATAGTATCATCAACATATTGTACCAAGTTTACTTAGCCTCCTTCTGACAGCTTGTATCCTTTAATTATGTCATTCTCTTTTGCCTTTCTCATTAACACAGCCATCCCCTCAGCCACAATTGAAAAGGGGAAAGGTGACAAAGGGTCACCTTGTCTTAAACCTCTTGAAGCTTTAAAATCAGAAGTTGTTCCTCCATTAATTAAAACTGATATTTGACAATTTAGGACGCCTCCTTTGATCCATTGTATCCACTTAGACAGAACTTCATGGCCTTAATAATTCCCTCTAAGAATTTCCAACTTACACAATCATAAGCTTGTTCATAATCCACTTTAAACATTAGACACTTCCCTTTATTTCTCTTCACCATATCAATAATTTTGTTGGTCAATAACATACCATCCAACCTTTGTCACTTAGATACAAAATCAATTTGATTACAGGATATCAGTTTATTTATTACTTTACTTAACCTCCTAGCCATTAACTTTGATATAATCTTATACACACGTGTTATCAGACTAATTGGCCTATAGCCTTATAGTTTCACTGGAAATTCCTTTTTAGGTATAAGTGTAATGAAGGAAGATGTAAACACTTTTGGCAAGAAAGTAAACCCATGGAAATGGCTGACAACATTAACAATATCTCCTCCTACTATACTCCAACACTTCTTCAGAAATTTGAAATTAAAACCATCTAGACCAGGGTTTTTGCTACCTTCAGTAGATGAAATAACCTCCCATATTTCTTCAGCTGTAAATGGTTCAACTAACATACTGTTACCCTCTGCAGATAAAGTTTGAATGTCTGAGAAATCAAGTTGCACTCCAGGACCCTTATGCTTATTTATCTTCTCTTCAAAGGAATCTTTCACATGCCTCTTCAAATCATATATCTCCTCAATTGTTTCATTACCAGTTTTCAATGCCCCAATATAATTTCTCTTATTTCACATTTTCATCATAGAATGGAAATATTGGGTATTAGCATCACCATCTCGCATTCAATTACTTCTAGCCTTCTGCTTGATCATAGCTTCTTTCATGTTTAGATTGTTCCATATTGTATCAATTGTCTCACTCCTACTCCTTAATTCATCCTCTCCTAAAACCCCACCAATGTCCTCCAAATTAGCCTCTATATCATTCAAGCTTTTCACCCCCTCCTCAATATTCAAATTTATCCACCCAAATGTATTCTTGTTCCACCATCTAAGTTGTTCCCTCAGATTTCTCAGCTTCTCAGCCTCTCAGCCAGAATAAAAGTTGGACTTCCCTCAACCTGTAAACCCTGCCAGGAAGAAGCAACAAACTCAACGAATTTAGGATGATTGAACCATCTATTGAACACCTTGAAAGGTTTTGGTCCCCAATTCTTCTTACTATTCGGAATCCGAATGGGACAATGGTCTAAGATGTCTCTATGTTCCACCCTTTGCACCTTAACATCCCATCTTGCTATCAAACCTTCAGTCATCAAGAATTTGACAATCCTGCTCCTACAACTTCCATTACTTTTGACCCAAGTAAATATATTCCCTATTACAGGTAAATCCAATACACACATGTCTTCAATGAATGCTTAAAATTCCAAAATTTCTATTTCCCTATTTTTATCTTTACCTTTCCTATCCCCACTGGTCTTAGTTGAGTTAAAATCTCCAGCTACTAACCATTCATCTTTTGGAGAACTATTCTTAACCTTCAAGATGTCCACCCACATCCTTCTTTTTTCTGACATCAAGCAAGGAGAATACACATTGATAAAATAGCACCTCAGATCTTTCAAAATGCCCACAACTCCCAAGAATCCCTTCCCTATGAAACTGTATTCTACCACAAATGCTTTCTTCCTCCAAACTGATATTATGCCTCCTGACTGCCCTTCAGATGCTATCCCAGACCAACAAAACTCTCCATTACTCTAGATGTTCTGCACCCACGATTCTTATATGTTTTGCATCTTTGTTTCTTGTAGAAAACACATATTTGCCTTTCCTTTTTTCAATAATTATCTAATCCTCCTTTTCTTCACTGCAAATCCACACCCCTTACATTGAATGAAACACAATTCATGGTATCCTTACTTATACCCCCAACCTTTCCTCATATAAACGTCTATCCCTACCTTCCATATCACATATGATTTTTGTCAAACACCTCATCATCTTCTTCCCCCTTAACTCCTAAGGCTTTGATAGTTTCCCACACCTTCCTTGGAACACCCTCCATTTATTTTTTTAATCCTATTGTTCACCTTATTAACATCATTATCAGAAATTGATTCACAACATAGGACTGATCCACCTGAGTAGTTCGATGATATTTCATTCTCTAGTCCATCTCTATCAGATACCCCTTTATCTAGTTTTGTAGTATTTTTTTTTAATTTAATGTTTGATGGATGAAGAATTAACGTCGAATAATAAGAAGGAGAGAAAGGGATTTTTATGCTTTGATAGATTTCCAGTAAAGATTTCTATTTTTTTAATCCCACAACCACTGGATATTTCATAGGCCCAACAAGTGTGCATTGTATTGGGCCAGGCTGCTCTTGATTTGGGCCTATCTCCATGTCTAAGTTCCGGCCCAACCTCAGCTCCTCCGACATTAATACCTTTGACCCTTCTTCTTTCAAATTTTTGTCAGTATCCACCCTGCCTATTGTACTATTACTTTCCTGCACACCCATCTTTCCGTATGTAATTTTAACTTTATCAGTAGTTCCATCCATCACCTTTTCACCCACTCCTCTGTTATTCCCTATGCTAGCATCCTTAGTTTTCTAAACATCCATATTTTAAATATGTTGGTCCGCCCTATTTGTGTTTTTCCTATCCTTGAAACTTGTTCCACCATCATTATTTTCCTTCCCAACCTCTACTGCCTCTTCCCTATCATCATCTGTAGAGTCCTCATCAGAAAGTGACTCCCACGCTCCGGTATTATCCTCTAAATTCTATATCTCTGATTCCTCCACCACTTCAGCTTTCTTTCCCACTTTGATTATTTTTGGTCCATGGAAATCCTCAACTAGTTTTATTCTGTAGACGTTATCATTGATGTCGACATCGAACACTTCGTTCAGATTAATCGAGATCTTTGTTTTAATAAGAAATCTTGCGACATCCATGTTCTTATGTAGTTTTGTTTCTTCGTCACAGCATATATATTTGCCAACTTGTCCTGATACAAACTTAAAGAAACGATGATTCCAGGCATGACAAGGGAGTCCGAAACATTTCAACCACGTGAGTCTTCCTCCATCAACATCATTTGGAGCCCATGGTCTGATACCTGAAACCAGGTTTAATCCATGTCCTGTCTTCGTCCACCATCATCTTAATGTCCCCCTTATAAAAGAGCAAAAATTAAAAAATATAAATAAATGTGTTTTTCCAAAAATTGTAGCTTTTTAATGAATGGTTGGTGGAAAAGGTGAGACTAAAATTTTGAGGGGAAGCCCCAACAATATTTTAATGTCGTAAGGGTTGTAACATTTAGAAAAAAAAAATGAGTTTGCATATATAACACCCATTTCTCTTTTTTTTTTCCTCATTTGCAACTCAAGTTTTTTTTCCTCTTCTTCCATACTTTCTGCAACTCTATTTCGCTCTTTTGTTTCTTCCTTTTGATCCTCAAATCTTCATAAATTCCTCTTATTTTTTTGTCTTTCCAAATCAACCCGTTTTTCAAGTACACATTTAATTACTATTATTTTTTTATTTTAAAATAATTTTCTGTATAAATGCATGAAAATTTTGGTTCGTAGTGAAAATTTGATTAATATTATTTAGTTGTAGATGAATATATATATAATATTTTTAAAATAAAATATATTTTGAATTTTTTAAATATAATTTCTTAAATAAATTAGTGTATATTTAAAATATATAAATTATTAGTTTGTTAGAATATATGTTAATAAGTAAAAATTTTACAAGAATATATTATTTTAAGTTACTATTTTAGTATGATAATTTCTTTATTTATGAATAATAATTTAAAGAAGATGTTAAAATATATTAGTAATTATATTATTATAAAAATTCAGAAATAAATATTTAAATTAATTTTTATTATAATATAATTATAATAATTTTTTATATATAATTACGATTCATTTTTAAAATTCTTTATCAAATTCATTAATTATTATCCTTTATCAAATTCTTTTTAAAAACCCAATATAAATTAAAATATTTATTATTTTATTATTATTATTAAGATACATTGTTTTTTAATATTATTTCATATGATTTATATAATTGATAGTTTGTAAAAAAATACAAATGATATATTATAATATTAAGATTTATTATGTTATATGATATATAAATTAATTAGATTTATATAATTGATACTTTGTAAAAAAAAATACAAATGATATATTATAATATTAAGATTTATTATGTTATATGTTATATAAATTAATTATATTTTCAGTTGAGCATAACTCAACTTTTAAAAGAATCTCCAACATCTCTCTATATTTCTAAACATTCCTAAAATAACTCTAATCAATTAATCATTCACAAACTCAACTAATGAAATTCAACTACAATCTGCACAAGAACGGAATAACATTCGACCAGCGAGAAAGAGATGGAAAAAGTATGAAAGACGATTAGAAGAAACTCATGAAGAAGAAGACAATAGGGATAAAAGACATGAAATGTGATACACAAAAGGGTGGTAAAGATAGAAGAAATAGAATTTTAGAATAAAAAACAATATCATTCTTCTCCATGGAATGTTGGTCAAACGTTGCAGAAAATAAAAGGATATGGTTGAAAAGATTGCAACAGAGATTTATACAGGATTGACCAAACGTTGACCTAGTCTTATTCCTAAGAGGTCTTCTTGAGAGTTTCACTATATATTTGAGATTTTAAAGGTTATACTCATGAACCTTAATACAATCTGATCTTTGAGATTTTAACAGGCTTATCCTAACCAAATGACAACTTTTAACCTAGGCTAAACTCAATTATTTAGAGATTTATGGTTTATCTCAATAACCTAAATAAAATTTTTTCGGCAAAGCTTTATAAACCAATAATAGAGATTTTACAACTTGTTGATCTAAAGAATCAAACTCAATCTCTTAAAAATATCACACGCTTAAGAATATAAACAACCAGTACGACCTCTTACAAAAATAATTTCCTCACATGTATAGCTTCACCTAGTAGCACTAAGGTAATTAGAAGTGAATAATAATTTTCTCAAAAGAGAGGAAGAGAGATAAATTCCATAGAAATATGAAAATGGTATGATTTAAAGTGAAAAAACCAAGAAATAAAATAATCCATAGGCTTAATTGATTATCTAATCGATTGGAAAAAAATCTCCAACCGATTAGACAACTCATTTATAATCGATTGGCAACCCCAAAAAGGAAGGCTGGCGAGGGCCCTCTCCTTGTTTGTTTCATCCTCAGTGGGTTTGACAGCAGTCTCCAGTTCAACGACCTTGGTTCGGAGTCGATCCCTTTCCCTCTTGGCTTCTTTCAGCATTTCTCGCATCGCATTCATCTTCTGAATGACGCGCACCTGGGCCTCGTACCTCGTATGAGCTTCAAGAAAGTCGTTCTTTGCCTCATTTTTCTCCGTCCAAAGGGCAGCGTTTTCTACCTGCAACTTTTTCAGCTTGGAGTTTGGGTCGGTTTCATCGTTGAGGACCAATGTCATTTCAAAGATCTTCATCATAGCGGCCATGTCCTCCGACAAAGCCTTCCTCTTAGCCGCCCTATCGATCCCCATGATCTCCTTGGTCTCGGGCTTGACCATAGTCGGGGAGTTGTCCCCACAGAAGAAATCACGATTGAGGTAGCAAGGAGGTAGCACAAACTTCTCCACGGGCACGTTCTCAGGAAGGTCAACAGGTACAGAGTCATCGATGTGCTCTCTTTTGGATGAAGTTTCCTGCGAGGGAGGAGACTAACTATATTTTGGGGAGGAGGAACCACCAGCTTGTTGATCGGGCTTCAGCATCTGCTGGACCTCAACAAATCTTCCCTTGATAACCTTTTTCGCGCCCTTGGTTGCCACGAGCTTCATTACGCGCTCTTGGAGGTTCAACATCTGGCCTGCAACAGAGAAAAAGGAAAACAAGTCAATATAATGAACAAAAACAAATTGGAGAGAGTGAAGAAAACACCCACTACCTAGGAACCTCAAGGCCGTCTCGTCAGACCCGCACTCAAGGAGGGCCTTGGTGTTAATCAATTGAGACTCGTGGAGAACCTCCCCGTACTCGTCCAGAATAAAACTCTCGTCAGACCCGCACAAAGAAAAAGGGTGCCTCGTCAGACCCACACTCAAGGAGGGCCTGCAACAGAGAAAAAGGAAAATAAGTCAATACAGCGGAAAAAAAAATGAACAGAAGAGAGCGAAGAAAACACCCACTACCTAGGAACCTCAAGGCCGCCTCGTCAGAACCGCACTCAGGGAGGGACTTGGTGTTAATCAGCCGAGACTCACGGCGAACCTCCCCGCGCTCTTCCAGAATAAAACTCTCATCCTTGTTGACGAATTTGGAGGAAGTGAAATCGGATACAAACTC